CGCCTCCAGAGCGCGGGAGGAACGCGGAAGGGAATGACAGGGAAGGGAAGGGAAAGACAGGAGGAGGGGGAGGGCATTCTGTGGGCCCGCTCCCCGGTACGGTCCTTCGCACTGCCGCAGTTGCCGTTTGCATTGCGACCGCTGCCAACGTCGTCGCCGTCGGGGCTGCTCTTGCGCGCGATTCCGAGTGAGACTACCATGGCAGAGGCACAAGTCTTAGATGCTCCGCGCGGATTCTTGGATCTGCACTGGGCCCCCCTGGCGGCGCCTCCAGCGCCGCTCCTAGCGCGCTCCGCGCGCCAGGGAGAGGGGTCCCACCGCGTACCCCAGAAGTCCGCACGGACAGCCGAAAGCTTATGTTTGTGCCGTTTTCTCTTCCTCTACGAGGGTGTCTTCTTTCTCTTGTAAGGTTTGAGCGATTACAGCTGTGATCGGCCCTCTCCATCCCTCCCTTCCCACAGATCACGTCACCCTATTTTGCCCACATGCGCAGAGATCCGCAATTTTGTTTTGCCCACCACCGCTGCAGGGATTGCCCCCAAGAAAAAAACAAGAGACGGCACATGGCAGACTGCCACATAGAGTGGTAGCAAAACGTTGACACATGTATATAGGTGTATAAATACATATACACATATATGTGCACATGTGCACTGATCTGTACACATATACATATGTGTATATGTACATTGAGGGGGGCGAACAGTCATTTACTGTCCCTGGGTGCACGGCTGGAGCGGGGTTCCGCGATGCGGGTCATTGTTGTTGTTGTTGCTTTTGTTGTTGGTTTTGTTGTTGCTGTTGTTGTTGGTGGTGTTGTTGTTGCTGCTGTTGTTGCTGTTGTTGGTGGTGTTGGTGGTGTTGTTGTTGCTGCTGCTTCTGCTGTTCGTTGTCGTCGTCCCAGCCGCGAGCCACCCGCGACCCACCCCCGACACACCCCACGACGCACCCCGCGACCCACCCGCTAACCACCCGCGTCCCTCCCGCGATCCACCCACGACCCGCTGGTGGGTCGCGGGGTGGGTCGCGGGGTGTGTCGCGGGGTGGGTCGCGGGGTGGGTCGCCGGTGGGTCGCGGGTGGGTCGACGACAACAAACAACAAACAACAAACAACAAACAACAAACAACAAACAACAATCAACAAACAACAAACAACAAACAACAAACAACAAACAACACACAACAAACAACAAACAACAAACAACAAACAACAAACAACAACAACAACAACAACAACAACAACAACAACAACAACAACAACAACAACAACACTTACAACAACAACAGCAGCAGCAACAACAACAACATCAACAACAAAAACAAAAGCAACAACAACAGTAACAACACAAACAAGAACAACAACAAAAACAACAGTAGCAGCAATTCGCCGGCCCAACGGTCCAGAGGCGTGCTAAGATCTCCGGTAACTACTAACAATATTTCTAGTTCGCGCGCGCGGGGCGGCCCCTGGGGGCCCCCGAACGAAAAGTACCCCGGCCGATCCCCGGCTGATCCCCGGGCGATCCCCAGGGGGGAGGTTTTTTTTTCGTCACCCCTTAGGAGGATCGTGCCCTCCGAGGGGGTGGCTGCAATCGACTACCCCCCCTCCTGCCCCAAGGTGCCACCAAGAGCCCCCCAAGAGGCCCCGGGGGAGCCCAAGACGCCGCCGAGGAGCCCCAAGAGACCCCCAAGAGGCCCCCAAGAGGCCCCTAGTAGGCCCCTAGGAGGCCCCAAAGAGGCTTCAAAGAGGTCCCATAGAGCGCTCGAGGGCTGGCGGAATGAGCGAAGCGATTCAATATCAACAGCAGCAACAGCAACAACAACAACAACAACAACAGCGACAGCGACAGCAACAACAACATCGCAACAAGCAGAATTCTCACCACGAGTTCCTTATTCAGCCACGTGCCCAGGGACAATGAGTGACCGTTCGACCCCCTCACTCTGAGATGCATATCTGTATATATATATGTGTGTATGTATGCATACTGCGTGTGTGCATATTTACGTATACATATACAAACATGTATATATAAGTATATATGTATATGTATGGATTGGTTTGCAACGTTTCACAACCACACACACATATATACACATATATATATATATATATATTTATATGTATATATGTGCATACCGCTATTATTTATAAGGTAGAAATGCATAAAACAAACAGGCTCCACGTTAACGTGTGGGTTCTATGCCCCCGAGGACGGCCCTCTCCCGCGCGGGAGCCGGCCAAGGGCCAATGCCGGCGCCCGGCCTCTGTGCCGAGGGACGGCGCCGCTGCGCCGGGCAGGAGGCGGCCACAGCCGCCCTGCCCGCGGCTACACGCAAGAGTGACCCTTCGCCGGAGTGACCTTCCCAGACATGATCGCATCGCAACAAAAATCAGGACGGGAGGTTTTTGCCTAATTATTTTCGGTCCCTGGGGGCCCTCGCCGGGCCTCGGGACCGTCAAAACACGACTCAGGACAAAAAAAAGGTCCCGGGGAAAGGGTCGGGTCTTCCAGGGACGCCGTCCTGAAAAAATCAGGACGTCGCATGTCTGGGTTCGGTGCGGGCCCATCGGGGCCCCCCGATCGCCGAGCCTTCGATGCGGTGAAAGCGTGTTGCGCGCTCAAGCTTGGTCCCCCCGCGGCCCCCCCAAGAGCCGCGCACCAAAAGTTACCCTTACCCAGGGTCGTCTTGCGTGCAGCCGATGCCCGCCCCGAGCTCGCCGCCGCCGCCGTCGTCGTCGTCGTCGTCGTCGTCCTCGTCCTCGTCGGCGTCGTCATCGACGTCAGAGGCAGAGGCAGTGGCAGCAGCGGGGGCCCGCGCAGAGGAGCGGCAGCTGGGGCCGGAGCGGGCACGGGAGTGTAGCCAGGCCTGCCTGGCTCGGCGCATCGCAGGCTCGCGTCGCTCAGCTCAGCCTCGGCTCGCCTTGTTTCGGGGGAGCGTAAGACCCAGGAGCGGAAAAAGGACGTACATGTACATGAATCCACGCTGGTTTCGAGAGTTCGCATTGCGCAAATGTTCGTATAACGCGGCCGGTCTCGCGGATCGAGGGGCCGTGTTCATGTACATAGCTGGGCGCGTACGTCCTTTGTGGGTTCCCTAAAGACCCGGATTTGCCAGAACTCGGGTTCGCCATTGTTTTTTGACGACCGCGCCTCGTATTTTGACGAGGAGGAGTTTCGTGGGATGTCTGCAGCGGGAGGCCTCGTCAAAATGCAGGCTCGGCCTCGTCATTTTCTTGACGACCTCGTCGGGGATTTCCGAGTCCACTGTGCCCAGGTCTTACGTCCCCCTGATTGTTGAACTCAGGGGGCGTCGCAGCGACGTGTGATTCGGGGGGTCCAGCAGCCGTGAGTATGTCGGAGTCCTCTGGGCGCCTTTGGAGCCACGGTGGGCGCCATCGCTTGCCAACTTGCCACCGCTGCGGAGTCCTTGGGGCAAGTTCAGGCCACTAGGGGGCACTTTCAGACTTGGACGCTCCAACTGCTCGCGTCCGGGGCATATAGGCCCCCCCCCGGGGGAGGATAACCCCCCGGGTAGGATGAAGGAGGACTGCAGGAACCTTTCCCAAATCGCACGATATGGTTAAGTGTATCGAAGACGGCTTCGGCGAATCACCGCCGACCCCTGCGTTTTGTTGGAAACGCTCATGCGGCCAACCGTTAGGCCAAACTCTGGCCAAGCTATTGGACGATGTGTTCCCCGAGCCATGGTGCAGCCCATCGGGGGAAGAACAAGTGGGAGAGGAAGAGAAGGACCGGGCCGAGGAGAGGAGAGGAGGCCTCTTGTAGAGCCTCCACGGGGCTTCCTCGGGGCCTCCTCTGAGGGGTACTTGGGGGCCTCCTGCGGCCTCTCCTGGGGCCTCCTGGCGTCTCTTGGGCGGTCTTGGAGCCCTCGTCGCTGATATCCTGCTCCTCGACCGCATGATGACTTACCCGGCTCCTCCCCCATCCTGCTCACTCTGGCCCGTGTCCTTGTCGTCCCCGACTGTTTTATTATGTATCGTCCTCGTCTGGTTTGTCTCATCCTTCTTCTCCCCTGCACCAGTCCGCATCACCAATCGTACTCATGCTCAGGTTCACGCTTTCTGGCATCACTGTACGATTCCTCCGTGCGCCTCCCCCATGTCCATCATCCATCCTCGCCGCCATGTTCCGAACCATGAGTGTCTGTTTATACACACAAGCATACGACATGTTCCTCATCATGCTACTAATCCCTCCAGTTTGTCGTGCTCAGTGTCTCCTGCTGAGCTGTTCCCCTCTGCTTCGGCTTGTGCGTCATGAACCCCTTCCTCCAGCATCTGCCCTCCCTCCTGCGTCCAACGTTACCCTGCATCCTTCAGGAGGGGAAAAACACACACAGACACACTTAATCGTCGATCCCCAGGAAAATATGGGAAACTGTGGGAATTGGGGGGGAAGACAGAAACCAAACAAGTATGGGAACATATGGGGAACATTTTTATTTGTGTGTACTTATTTGGGTGTCCTGGGGCCCCTTCACTTCCTCCTGCGTCCAACGTTACCCTGCATCCTGCGTCTCCCCCTCCGCAGCCTCGTTCTCATCTTCCCTCCCGCCTTCTCGTCCTCCGTCGGCCTGCCCTCCCGCCCCGACACCCCTTCTCCTGCACCCCCCCGTCCTCCCTGCTGACTCCCATCCCTCCCTCCTCCGCCCCTCCCTCCCCAATCTTCCCCCCTGCTGCATCGTCCATCACTCATGCTCTCCATTCCTATCCCTCCCTGCCATCCCCATCCCTCCTTCCCCCGCCCTCCCTCCCCAATCTTTCCCTGCCCCTGCTCCATCGTCCATCGCTCAATTTCTCTACGTCCATCTCTCGCTTTCCCCCCTCTTTCTCGTCGTTCTGCGCCGCGTCGGCCTCCTCATCCTGCCCCCCTGGTCCTGCTTCTGTGTTCGCCTCTGCTGCCGCCCCACCCCCGGGCTCCTCCGTGTTCCTGGTCGTCCTCCATCGAAGCCGCTGTGGCTCGGGCTCGACGTGCATGGCCGGCGGCTCGCCCCTCTGTGAGCTCCTCATGGGGCTCCCTGGAGATGAAGGCGAGCAGGAGCCGATCTTGGACTTTGACCCCGACGAGGTGATCGAGTTGACGTATGGATCTGGGCGTTATCAACTTCGAGCGCTGCTCTTGGTTGGAGGCATCTACATGTTCATCGTTCCTGGTGTTCAGATCCAGGTCTTTGTTGGGCCGAAGATGGTAGGAGATGCGGCGATCCCCGCCTTCACGGACGAGACCTTGAGCGCCAGCCAGACGCTGCTGTTTGTGGGCTGGGGTCTCGGCACCATTTTTTTCGCCCCGGCCGCGGACAAGGTCGGGAGGAGGCCAGTGGTGTACAGCCTCACTGCTGGCCTCATCTTGGCCTACGGCTGTTCTGTGCTGGCAGCGGAAGCCGGCTCCGTGCCCTTGTTCGCGGCGTCCATGCTGGCCGCCGGGTCTTGCATACCCTGCTCCCAGGTGGCAGGGCGCGAGCCAAGCGGCGTTTTGGCGATTCCGTGGGCCGCTTCTGTTTTTTAGAATTCGATTTGCAGCAGAACCGGACCGAAGACAGAGCGAGGGGAACCGAGAACAACACGAAAACGGCAAGCACTGTTTAGCTCGAACCCTCCCAGGTGGCCTATGTTCTGCTACAGGAGGTGTTGCCTGGCGGGCTTCGGGTTCGAGCGACCGTCTTCATGAACGTGGCCCAGAGTCTCGAGCTGGGGCTGATAGCGCTGACTTGCGGATACGTGACGAAGGGGATGGACTGGAGGCTGGAGACGATGATTTTCTTTGCGCCCTTGGGCCTGCTGCTGTTTGGAGCCCCGCTCGTGGACGAGTCGCTGCACCTGCTGCTGATGCGCGGGCGGCGCGCGAGTGCCGAGCGGCTCGCCGCCGCGATCGCCCTCGCGAACGGAGCACAACTCGACCTCTCGGGGGTGGACAGACCTCCTGCCCTGACACGTCGATTAGTGAATTGTCCGTTTTCGGTTCTCGAGAGGGCGCCGTGGCCGCTATTTTCCAGGCTTGCGCCCGCCAGGTTTGGGCCTGAGGTCGTTTTCACTAAGCCACGTTTTACTAAAGGGAGGTCTGTCCACCCCCGAACCTCCGGGCCGCCACGGGCAGACCGGCAGGGGACGCACCCCTGACAGCAGCCGGCGATGCCCCGGCGGTGGACGACGGGCCCCTGAGGTCGCTGCTGCGGGCCCCGCTGCGCCGGCGGCTGCTCCTGTGCTGTGTCTGCTGGACGGCGCCCAGCCTGGGGTACTACGGGCTGTCCTTCTCGGCTGGGAGGCTATCCCCTGACGTCTACCTGAACATCCGGGGGGTCCGGAAGAGTGGGGAGTGGGTTGTACCTCGGAGGATGCGCAATGGGGGGGGGATAGGTTTCAGACCTCCCAGATGGGGTCGGAGTAGATCTCTGTCGGAGGGTCGCACCGCATCGGCGATGCATTGCCGATGCATCGCCGATGTGGCCCAATGTGGAGCTTGATCTTCTCCACGCCAGCGTCGCCGATGCGCCGACGACAGCGCAGATGCACTGCCGATGCATCGCCGATGCATCGCCGATGCATTGGCGATGCGGCGCCATCTTCCTATCTACTCGAAGCATATCTAGGAGGCCTCTAGGGGCAGCGAGGGCCGCAGAAAAGGGGCCCCTCAGGGCCCCAACAGGGGCCCCTTAGGAGCCTATAAAGGGAGCCTTCCGGGCCCGAAAAGGGGCACATTCCTCCCTGCCTCCATTCGTCGCACCCCCCCTACGGTGGGGGCGTTGGGTTAAGGAATGGGCCCAGGAGGCGTCAGACCCTGGAGGCTTCCTTATCCGATGAGGGCGGCGGTGATATCCATGGCCACTCCACGATTGGAGTTCCATTGGCTCCCAGACCCTGGATTCCTCATCGAAGGTTTCCTTACCCAATGCCCCCCATTAGCCGTTTCGGCGCGAGCTGGATTTCTTGAGCTGGCGACAGCTCGCGTTTGTGCCCGCCTACTTCGAAACGGCGTAGCGGGCACGAGCCAACTTTCACGACGACGGCCCCCCCCGCGGCAGCCCGCGGGCCATGGCGCCGTCACAAGCGGACCCTGGCATCATCCCAGGCGCGCGGCGGACACCTCTATGGTCTTGCTCCTGCGGCTGTGATGGCAACTGGGCGTCCAGGACGCGCTGCCGCCAGTGCTGGAAGGCGGCTCCCACCAGCGTGGTGCAGGCAGCCAAGCGCTCGGCAGCAGCAGCCAAAGGGCCAGCACCCAGCACGTCTCGCCCGCGCGGGGCCTGGGCGCAGGGCCCGCCAGGACAGGGACAGCTACTGGAGCAGCTGCAGAAGTTGCAGAAGCAGGTGGCAGAGCTCAAGGGCGAGGCCCCGCCGCCGACGGAGCCCTGGAAGGAGCGCAAGCCCCCGCCCAGGAAGGCTGCCGTGGCGAGTGCTGGCATCTCCTACAAGGACGTGGTCACCTTCTTGGCGAAGGAGGGGCTCGACACCAGCGCGGTGGAGGCGGCAGAGAAGGCTGCGGAGTCGAAGACGCTCGAGAGCAAGCAGCCTACTGCTCAGACGCAGCGCTGGCGGGTCAAGGGCATGCGCGACAAGATCAAGAAGCTCGAGACCCGCGAGGCCGCCATCTTGGAGCAGCAGGCCGCACTCGACAAGGAGCTCCAGGAGCTCAGGGTCTCGCTCGGCGACGAGAACCAGAAGCTCACCGAGGGGGAGGCCAAGTTGGTCAAGCTGCAGGCCAGCGAGTTCCCCGACCCGATCCTGGCAGTCGCAGCTGGACTGGACGAGGACGTCGCCGCCAGCCAGGAGGCCAAGGACGCCCTCGCGGTCCTGGCCCGCTTGCAGACCGCAGCCAGCGACAGCAAGAAGGCAGCGGCCGCGGCCAGGGACGCTGCTGCTCCTCCTGGTCCTGCTGCTGGGGCGGCAGACGCAGGCGGCGAGCACAAACCAGTGCCAGAATCAGACGACATTGACATGGAGCTGCTGGGAGGAGAAGGCTGGGAGGAGAAGCACGAGGAGTACGCCGCAGCCTCAGCAGCCCTCCGAGAGGCGGCCCCCGAGCAGCGAGAGGAGGCCAAGCGCAAGCTGCGCGACGCCTTGGACGCGCTCTGGGCTGCAGGCAAGCGGCCGCGGCGCCTTTGACCCCAGGCCCAACGTGAGCCTGGAGGTGCAGCGCGGCCAAGGGACAGGCAGTCCGCAGTCTAGCCGAGGGCCCATATGTAATCGTGGGTTGCTCTTTCAGGATGGCGTGGCGACAGACTCGGGCGTGAGTCCCCCCTTGGACCTCGTCTGCGCGGCGACGCGCCGCCCCCAGCCCCGGGCTGGGGTGGCAGGCGCGGCGGCGCCCGCCGCGGCCGCCGTGCTCCAGCTGGCCAAGCTGGTGCGGCCTTCGGCGCAGCAGGGCGCCAGCTTCCTCAGCATTAACGGCTCCACGTGGGCGGAGTCCCAGACGGCCCTCGAGCAGCTGCTGGGCGCGAAGGTCAGGGACGACGTGTACCTCATCCAGGAGACCCGCTTCACCCCGGCGCTGGCTGAAGGCTCGGCCCGAGCCTGGTGCAAGCGGAACGGCATCAACGCGGCCTTCGGAGAGTGCCGCAGCACAGGGACGGCAGCCCAAGCCGTCTCTTCGGGGGTCGCCGTGCTGGCCGGAGAGCACCGCGGAGTGGCCTTGATCGACCAGGTCTGGGGCCAGCACGCCTCCAGGATCGTGGCGAGGCGCGTCGCCTTCGGGGACCTGGTCGCGGTGTGCGTCAGCCTGTGCCTGCAGTGCTCGGTCAAGCTCAATGAGGCCAACGTGGACCTCTTGAGCGAGCTGCAGGGTTTCCTCCTTGGTTTGCGGGAGCTCTTCGTTGTGGGGGCGGACTGGAACTTGGAGCCCAGCCTCATCAGCAGCTCGTGGTGGCCACGCGCGGCGGGGGCGGTGATAGTGGCGCCCGACGAGCCGACCTGCGGCGATAGCACGTACGACTTCTGCGTGATCTCGGACGTCCTGGCGGGGCTTGGGCCGAAGGTGACGGTGCTCAGGCAGGCGACTACGCACCCGCACGTCCCCGTCAGGCTCACCTTCGAGAAGCTGAGCAGCCAGGCAGGTGTCTGGGTGCAGAAGGGCCCCAAGCCGTTCGAGCTGCCTAGCGGCTAAGCAGGAGGGGATCCAGCCAGAGCCAGAGGCGGAGGACTCGCTGACGGACTGGAAGGCGCCGCTCCTGGACGAGAGCGGGAGCCCAAACGAGGCGATCATGGAGTTCTTCGACCAGGCTGAGGAGCGCCTGATACACCTCTTCGGCATCAAGGACGGCGCCAAGTACAGAGGCAGGGCGCAGGGGCTCAAGAGGGTGCCCAAGCAGCTCATTCACCTCCTGCGCTCGGAGGAGGTGCGCAGGACCAGCCCGCTAACGCGCTGCTGGATTACCTTGGGGCGCCTGGCCACTCAGCTGGCGGCCGCGGCGGCTGTGCCCCACCCCTCGCCTAGGCACCACAAGCACGTCGAGCGCTTGCAGGCGGCCGCCCTAGACTTGGCCCCCAAGTTCGAGGCAGAGGGATGAGAGATGTTCGGCGGCACCAAGATGGCGGCGATGCTGGCGGAGATCTCGGACAGGTCGCAGCAGGGCAGCATCTTCCTCCAGGCCATCGGCGCCGCCACGAAGGTCAAGCGCAGGGGGGGCGTGAAGCTCGCCAGGCAGCGCTGGAAGGACTTCATGGCCGAGGCCCTCAGTGGGAACGGCAAGGGCGCCCACGCGATCAGCAAGCAGGCCAACCTCGAGACCTGCTCCATCCTCGGCCCTGGCGAGGGCGAGGCCCCATCCAGCCCCGCTGGTCGGGCAGCAGGCCCTGGACAGGATCCTTCAGGAGTGGAAGGCGCTCTGGCACAAGGAGGGCTCCGACAGCGTCCGCCCCGAGAACTGGGACGAGCCCTTGGGTCTGGACGCCATCGCGGCGGAGGATGTGTTGGCAGCGGCGAAGACCTTTCCCAGGAAGACGGCGCTGGGATGGGACGCCTTCCACCCCAGGCTCATCCTCAGCTTAGGCAGGGAGTGCGCGGCCAGGCTGGCAGAGATCTTGACAGCCTGGGAACGGCGCCCCAAGCCGTCGGAGCTGTTCACCACGATCATCGTCTTCTTGGGGAAGCCCGACGGGGGCCGCCGCCCGATCGGGCCCCTCTGCATGTGGCTGCGCATCTGGAGCCGCATCAGGCGCAAGTGCTGCGCGGGCTGGGAGCGGGGCCACAAGCTCCCCGAGTACTGGGGGGCAGACTCGGACACCGGCTGCGACAGGGCGGCCTACATCCACAACCTCCTGCTCGGCCTGGCGCGCGAGAAGAACTTCGAGGCTGCGTCGGTCTACTTCGACATCAGCAAGTTCTACGAGCAGATCAGCCACGGGCTGCTCCTCGACGCGGCGCGGGGCTGCGACTTCAACGCTGGGTTGATCCAGGCGCTGTGCGTGCTGTACTCGGGCCCCCGCAGGGCCAGGGCCGACCTAGCCCTCAGCGAGCAGCTGGTCATCGACGACACCGTCATTGCTGGATGCTCCTGCGCGACGACGATGGCGACGATCATGCTGTACGACCTCCTGCTGAAGTCGAGGAAGCTGCTGCCGATTGGAAGGGTGGTCAACGTGATTGGCGACATCTCGGGCCACGGCATCGGCACGCGCAGGCTGGTCGTCGAGCAGATCGCCAGGTTCGCGAAGGGCGTCGCCACCATGCTGGGCGACAAGCGGCTCCCCATTAACTGGGGAAAGACTAAGGCGCTGGCCTCCTCGGTGAGTCTGAAGAGAGAGCTGCGGCAGCACGCCGACTGGGTCCTCGCCGACGAAGCCTTTGTCACTGGCCACCGCGACCTTGGAGGCGATGCGACGGCGGGCGGCCACCGCAGGGTCGAGACGCAGGTGGCCAGGGAGCTGGCGGCGCTGCGGCAGGGCAACAACCTCACCAGGATCTTCGGCTCGGGGATGAGGCAGACCAGGATCCAGAGGGCAGGCCCCGCAGCCAAGGCCCTGTGGGGCTCGGCCATCAACGGCGTCCCGCCTGGGCGCATGAGGGCGCTCAGGGTATCTGCGGCGAAAGCCGCCTGCAACCTGCCGACGGGCGCGGCGCTGACCTTCTGCTTGCAGTGCGCGCCCCAGGGCTGAAGGCAGGATCCGCTGGTGATTGCGACGGGCATGGCAGTCCAGGCGTTCGTGGCCATGAGCTGGTCTGGCCAGGCCTCCCCTGCCGCCGTGCAGGCCTGCCTCAGGGACAGCAGCCGACTGGCCTCGATGCAGAGGCCGTGGGCCGCGGTGCGCGACCCCGTCTCGGCGCTGGTGCTCACGCTGGGGCGGGTCGGCTGGGGCCTCAGCGCTGGCGGACGCGTCCTGACCGACAGGGCGGGCAGCGAGTTCGATGTCACGAGGTTCTCGCCCGCCTTCCTCGCCGCCAGGGTCAAGGAGGACACGCGCCAGGCGGCGTCGCTCGAGGAGTGCGCCAGCAGGCCCGAGACCTTCTGGCAGTGGCGGCTGCCGCCGTGGTGGACGCCGATCAACCAGCTCCTCGGCGCCAAGGAGTCGGAAACCTGGACGGCCCACCACAAAGGCTGCTTGAGACGCCTGGCGTCGCTGGCCAGGTGGCCCCAGGCCCGACTGGCGAGGCATGGGCGAGAGATCGACCCGCTGTGCAGGCTCTGCGGCGCCGCCCCTGGGACGATGCACCACAGGCACCACGCGTGCCCAGCCTGGGCGGCCTGGAGGCGGGACTACTGCCCGTACCAGGTGAGGCCCACCGCATGGGGCCCCCCTTCGACGAGCTCTTCAGTCAGGGGCTCTTCGCCGACATCAGCCTCCTCGTGGCCAGGCCAGCCTGGGATGACAGCTGGGCGCGGCGATCCTGCGGGTGGGGTGACGGCATCTTGGTGGTGCCCGACGGGTCCTTCGTCTTCACCGACGGCTCGTGCCTGAACGGGGACTTCCCGCACGTCAGGAGCGCGGGCTGGGCCGTCATCGTTTACGGGCCCGAGGGGAAGCTCATCGCCGAGGCGTGGGGCGCCGTGCCCCCCAGCGACCTCCCGTCGCAGACGGCCAAGGCGGGCGAGGACTTCGCCGCCGTCATCGGCCTCGCCGACATCATCGGGAACTACACGCTGCTCAGCGACTGCTTGAGCACGGTGAAGGCTGCCTCCAACCTGGCCAAGGCCTGCGGCCCCAGCTCCCAGCACGCCCACGTGTGGGCCAGGGTGGGCGATGCAGCGGAGGGCGTCAACATACGCCACGTGCCCGCCCACCGCACCGAGGCCGCGGCGCGGGACGGTGAGCTCACCCTCTTCGAGCTCTTGGGCAACAGGCGCGCCGACACCAGGGCAAAGGAAGGAGCGGCCTTCCACGCCATCGCGGAGCAGGACGCCCTGATGCTGGAGGGCTGCCTAGCTCGGGCGAAGGAGGTGGCCAGGTGCGCGGCGGCCCTCGAGGTGCACATCACCGAGTCGGGGCTCAGGGACTCCTGGCCGCTCACCCCCCTTGACCTCGTGGACCTGGACCCCTTCGTCTCGACGCCCGTCCTGGAGCAGCTGCTGGAGGCCGAAGAGTCGGCTGCCCGCGGCCCTGGCGGCTTGGCGGCCTTGGGGGCGGCCGCAGCGCTGGCGGCGGCAGCGGCGGCCAGCCCGGGAGCCCAGGCCCAGGACCAGGACGACACGAAGGCCCGCAAGAGGAAGGAGGCAGGCGACGGGCCCGTCGGGCCCAGTGATCCAGCCGCGGACGCGTCGAGCGCGTCGGCGGCCTTGCTTCGTGCTGTCCAGCGACGCCGCGCAGAGAAGGCGGAGCGGGCAGCGCCCTCGGCCGCGGGCGCACAGAGCCCGCCCCCGTCGGCTGTGTCGAAGCCTCCTCCCCCTCCTTCCTCCGTGGCCTCCCCTGCGGCTGCGGCTGCCGCCCCGCCTCCGAGAGCCCCCTCGGGCCCTGCTGGCCAGGTGGGGACCCCAGGGCCCCATTTTGAGACCCCCGACTCTGGCCTAAAGTCGGGGGTCTCAAATTCGAGGTTGTCGCGCGCCCGCCCGTCCCCGACCGATCTTGTCGAGCCGGGGGTCTGGGAGGTCAACGGCCACCGTCTTCGGGAATCCCGCGTTTCAGGTGGTGAAGGCCCTGGGTTTTTGGTTTGTGTGGCGTGCTGGATGTATTGCATGAAACCCCAGTACTGCCACAGAGGCCTAGCCAAGGCCTGTAGCGGGGCCCAGCGCGCTGACGACCCCAGGGCCGAAAAGGGCTCCAGGGCGCAGGCGCGAAACGATTTCGCGAAATCGCTTTTGCCTGGGAAATCCAAGCAGCCGATCGACCAGCTGGCTCGGCCCACAGCGGCCACCCGTGCCAGGTGGGCCGAGGCGCTCGGCACGGTCGCGGGCCCTGAGGGCATGGAGGACCCAGTGGCCCCTTTAGGCTCCAGAGCCCCCGCCGTGGAGCCCCCAGAGGTGCGGGAGCGGGCGCCCGCCCCGCCTGCCCCAGGGAGGCTGTTTCGCCCAGGGCTCGAGGGAGCCCTGGGCTCCTTCGGCTTCGCCAGCGCTGCTGAGGCTCAGGAGCGAGGCAGGGCCGCCAGAGCGGCCAGGATGGTGGACCCCAGGCCAGCGGTCGGCCAAAGCGAGGAGCGAAGTTAGCCGCGCTTCGTGGTCTGGTCCTGGCGGGCTGCGGGCTCGCGCAAGCACTGTTTGTGGGGCCGTAAGACGGCATCTGAATTTGTCTGTGCATGTGAAGCCCCAGGGTGATCGGATAAAAAAAATGCCCCCCCACTAGTCCGCGCCCAAATGCCAAGGTGGGGTCAGTGGACGCTTCAAGCCGCCGGATGCTCGCGTTAGCCTCTTCCAAGGGGCCACTCCGGCAGGGCTTTTCCTCTGATCCCCATGCCGGCTGCCCCGATAGGCCCTCTCAGACATGCGACGTCATGGTTTTGTAAGTGCGGCGTCCTCAGAAGTCCCGGCCCCTTTCCCCGGGGCCAGTTTTCCACCCCGAGTCGTTTTTTGACGCTCCCGCGGCCCGGCGAGGGCCCCCAGGCCTGGCCGAAAGCGGCCAAATCCCCCCCGCCCTTTTTTTTGTGTTATTCTCTCTCTCTCTCTCTCTCTCTCCCGATATATATATATATATACACACATGTATATACTTTATTTTATTATATATATATACAATCTGTATGAAAAAAGAACGACGCGATCCTGCCTGCGGGCCACCTCCTCCGCGCCACCCGGAGCGTGCTCCTCTTCTCGCTGGCCGACGTGGCGGGCTACCTCCTGCCCGCGGCCCTGATCCCGCTCGCCGGCCGGCGCAGGTTTCGGGTGTTGCCAGAAGTACCCCATGGCCCAAGGTGTCCCCCAGCTCTTCGCTCCATCTTGGAGCCCCAGGGGCCCTCTGGGCCTCGTGAGGGGTTCCCTGGAGGCCGTCTGGGCCACCCCGAGAATCCTGGGGGTATCTTGGGCCAGGGGTACTTCTCGCAGCGCTCGGAGGTTCCAGGTCGCCTGCTGCTCCGCGGCGGCCTGCTGCCTCCTCGCCGCGGGCCTCCTGCCCGCCCTGGCGGTGGCGGCCGCGGTGGCCGGGCGCCTCTTCATCAACATGGCCTGCACGCCGCGGGCAAGACTTTTGCGCCCCCAGACGCGATCGCGGCGTAGGACCCAGAGGTCCAGCGTATGGACAAAAATCAAGACGGGAGTTCTTCTCAGTTCTCGGCCTTTAGGGGCCCTCGCTGGGCCCTGGGACCGTCAAGAAACGACTCGGGATGAAGAAAAACGGTCCTCGGGAAGGGGTCGAGACTGCGGTCAAGCAGTGGCGAAGCGTCCCGGCTTGCCTATAGGCCCACCAATCCATGTTCTAAGAACCTTTTGTTGTTTTTCCAAAGAAAATTCTTAGAACACTTCTGGCGGAGTCTGTCTTGTGTTATCACATCGGGTTGATGTTCTAAGAACCTTAGTTTTGTTCTTAGAACATTTCTGGGTTCGAAGAACATTTCGTGGAATGATTATAGGAATGCCGGGACGGTCGGCCCCTGCTCAATTCGGGGGACCGCGCATTGAAAGCATCGCGACGTCGGAGCTCTGGGGAGACAGGGCAGGACGGGGGAGGAGGAGGAGGAGGAGGAGGAGGAGGAGGAGGAGGAGGAGGAGGAGGGGAGGAGGAGGAGGAGGAGGAGGAGGAGGAGGAGGAGGGAGGAGGAGGAGGAGGAGGAGGAGGCGGAGGAGGAGGTGGAGGAGGAGGAGGAGGAGGAGGGAGGAGGAGGAGGAGGAGGAGGAGGAGGAGGAGGAGGAGGAGGGAGGAGGAGGAGGAGGAGGAGGAAGGAGGAGGAGGAGGAGGAGGGGAGGAGGGGAGGGGAGGAGGAGGGAGGAGGGAGGGGAGGAGGGAGGAGGGAGGAGGGAGGAGGAGAGGGAGGAGGGAGGAGGGAGGAGGGAAGGGAGGGAGGAGGGAGGAGGAGGAGGGAGGAGGAGGGAGGAGGAGGGAGGAGGAGGAGGAGGAGGGGGAGGAGGAGGAGGAGGAGGAGGAGGAGGAGGAGGAGGAGGAGGAGGAGGAGGAGGAGGAGGGAGGAGGAGGTTTTTGGGGGCCCCCCGGGGAGCGTCAGGAGAAGCGACTCGGGAGGAAGGGCCTTGCCCCGGGGAAATGGCCGGGACTTCCGGGGACGCCGTGCTTCGGAAACTGGAACATATCAGAGCGTGAATTGCCTACCTCGCTTTCGCTTCCAGGCAAAACCAAGTCATACCACGCGCCTCCTCGTCGAGCGGCCTGACCAGTACAGGCCAGAGTTTGGCATCGCTTGGTATCTCTTGGCAGCGAGGGTGGTCAAGAGCGAGGTAGGTTTGTTTGCCCCCTAGCATATACATTACCAGTGGCGGGTTGCTTTTTCAATCCCACGACTTTGGAGGGTTAGGGGCGACGTCGGGGTGGTGTGGGGTGTACTGCTCCCCCGTTTTCCAAAAGGGAAACAGCGAAAAGTGTATACACCAAGATCCCGTATGCACCAGGATCCGCGTTCCTGTGCGAAATTCAGCGCAGGGTCGAAAAAAGCTTCGGTGTATATAGAGCTCGTTTCCCTAGTGCTGAAACAAAAACATGTGGACGTCGCAAGTCTGGGGGTCCATAGCCGCTGCCGCTTGGAGTTTCGCGCTACCTTCCCCAGCAACCCGAGGCGCACTGTATGTGATGGATAATACAGTCTGGCCCTCCGAGGCTCGATGTTTGTCCGTCTCCAGTGCGCCCGGGCCTCGCGGCCACCCTGCCGAGAAACTCCAAGTCGCACTGGGCATGGATGCACATATTGCCCGCGCTTCACGTCGATCTACATCATCTCGAGGAAGGAAAGACGGCACCAGCATCCAACTTTCGGAGGTCGTTCTCCACGAGCCCCTTCCCCGGCGCGCTCCGCGTGCCAGAAACGGCGCCGAAGACGCCGAGCGGGGTGTGGGGGAGGGGACCTCCGGCCCCGACCCCATCTGCGCGGACCTCTGGAAAAGTTTGTGCTCGTGCCGTCGTTTGCCCCTCGCCGTCACGGTGGAGGCCTTCCCCACGGGCTGCCGGACCACCGCGATGGGATTGTGCAACGGCGTCTGCCGGCTGCTCACCTTGTTCGCGCCCCTCGCCGCCAGGCTGCCCACCCCCGTGGCGTGCTGCATCTTCAGCGCGCTGTGCGCCGCTGGCGCAGCCGCCACGTGCGCCCTGCCGGAGACACGGGACTGGCGGCTCTCGCAGGCGGCCGCTTGACGGCCGCATCTCCCGCCCCTCGTGGGTGAGGGACATTCAGGAGGGAAAAAACACACAGACACAATTAATCGTCGATCCCTAGGAATATGTGGGAAAATATGGGAAGTGGGGGGGAAGACAAAAACTCAGAAAATATGGGAAAATATGGGGAATCATTTGATTTGTGTGTATTTATTTGTGTGTTTGTGGGCCCCTTCAGACATGTCCGTGTCCGCGGCCTCGTGGTGCGGGCGCCCGGGCTGCGGTCCCTGGGACCGCCGCGGGGCATCCTGTCCGCGCAGCGCGGAACGTGTACCCAGAGATCCGACGTCGTGATGTTTTCAATGACGAACGAGCAACACACACCCATACCCATAGGGGGGTCGTTGGGAGGAGGACTGGCTTTGGGTATGGGTGCGGGTTGTCGGACCCTGGGGAACGCTCCCGTTCGAGCGGGGACCCCCATCCGACAACACGCACCCATAGCCCTGTCCGACCCCTCTATGGGTATGGGTGTGTGTAGTTGGTTCGTCATTCAATGCGCGGTCCCCCGAAGTCTCGACCCATTCCCCACGGACCGGGTGTTTCATCCCGAGTCGATTTTCGACGGCCCCTGGGCCCGGCGAGGGCCCCCCGGGGCCGAAAATGCCCAAGAACCTTCCGTCTCGATTTTTCCATGCGCTGGGTCTCTGGGTATCCGCGCAGCGGCGCTTCCGCGGGAGGCCGCCCTGGAGGCCAGACCGCCAGGGCGCGGCTCTGCGGGCCACCTGCGCCGCTCGTGCACGTGTGCCCCGCGGCGCGCCGCAGCGCCGCCCTGGCCGCCGGCACCCGCGCCGCGCTCTGCCCAGCTGCTCGCGGGGCCGCGGCCGCGGCGTCAGGGCCCGCGCGGGCGCCCGCCGACTGGCCAACAGTAGTGCCCAGACAGGATCGCGTCGTTAAAACAGCAGGACGGGAGGACTTTATAGCTATATGTTCGGTTCCATGGGGGCCTTCGCCGGGTCTCGGGAGCGTCAAAGAAATGAGTCAGGACGAAGAACCGGTCCCGGGGAAAGGGTCGGGACTTCCAGGGACGCCGTCCTGAAAACGTCGGGAACGTCTCATGTCTGGGTTAACCCTGGAAAAGACAGGGCCGTTTCTTTACCAGTTCAGATTGGCGGTTTTGGTGCCGGAATTTCATCGCCGTTTGTTGTGCCAGGTTTGTCGCCGTTGTTTTCTGCAGGCTTCTGTTCCGGCTCCGGATCTGGAACCGTTTTCTGCCGTTCCCCGTCCATGAAAAATCCACAGACTTTTTCGGAAACAGTGAAAACGGCCCTGCCGTTTCTGGGGCCCACTAAAGTCCCAAAACAACCCTACCCAACCCGACGGAACCAAATGGCCCTTCCTTCCCAGTGGGGGGGCGTCGGGGAACATTGAACAAAAAAACACGTGTGGAGCCTTGTAGTACCCCCAACCCAGCCCGGAAGATGGGGCCTTCGGGGGAGTCGGGAGCCTCGGGACGGGGGTCAGTGCAGACGGGGGTCAGCCAGGGCGCCGGATCCTGCAGGATCCTGCGAAGACCCCCTCTGGCTGACCCGGGTCAGGGAGCCGCTCGTGGCCGCGAGGCGGCCGCGCATACTGGCTGCCCCGGGTTTGCGAAGACCTGCGCCGCAGTTTTTTTTCCTCCTGCATTGCAGTTTGTGGTTTCCTGCTGACCCGGGTCTGCATTGTTGACCCGGGTCAGAAGATCCCCGAGCCCAGACCCCCGACGTCATGATTTTTTCATGACGCGACCCCCAGAGGTCCGGACCGATTCCCCGGGACCGGTTTTTCATCCTGAGTTGTTTTTTGACGGTCCTGAGGGCCGGTAAGGGCCCCCGGATGCCAAAAATAATGAAAAACCTCCCGTCGTGATTTTTTCATGACTCGAGGGGGTCTGGGAGGGAGGTTGGGGTGGCATGGCGGGTAGACATCTGCGCCGATGCAGAGCCCAGGGCCCACGATCGGCCTGGCCAGGGTCGGTGCAGGCGTCGCGCTGGGGCCCTCCGGCCGCAGCCCCGCCCGGGCCACTATAGCACCGGCCACTGCGCGCGGGCGTGCTGGGCGGCGGCGCCGGCCTTCCCGCGGCCGGCAGGTCCTCTCGTCTATAGACCTCCTTGGTGTCGGAGGATCGCGCCGCATCGCCGATGCATCGACGGTGCGGCTCGATGCGTCGCCAGATTTTCTCCACGCCGACGTCGCCGATGCGTCGCCGACGTCGGCGATGCATCGCCGTTGCATCGCCGATGCAGTTGCGATGCGGCGCGATCCTCCGACCCCATGTACTCGGACCCCATCTAGGAGGCCTGCCTCTATCGCCCCCTGCTCCCAAGGCTGGTCCCGAGGAGCCCACTGGGACAGCCTCAGCACAAACAATATGAGCGCCCATGGTGGCCAAAATGCAGCTAGGTGGCTCTCGCACTCCTCGGGGGCCCCCGATGGAGCCCTTCCTGGCCCTCCCTTCTCGTCTCCCGCCCTCTTTTCGCCCTCGGGGGTGCAAACCCAGACATGATCGCGTCGTAAAGAAACAACAGGACGGAAGGTTTTTGACAGTTTTCGGCCCCATGGGGGCCTTCGCCGACCCCCGGGAGCGTCCAAAAACGATTCGGGATGAAAGACCGGTCCCGGGGAACGGGCTGGGACTTCCAGGGACGCCGTCCTACAAAAATCCCGGGGGCCCCCAAACGGTGCGGTGACCACACCGTGCGGTGAGTCGGTGGGGATTCGGGGTCACCGCACGGTTTTGGGACTCGGGTCGTTCTCCGAGGACGTCTCGGGCGACAGGGGCCTCCGAGGTCCCAAAACCGTGCGGTGACGGACCGGCGTCGGACGATGGTGAGGTCTTGGGGGATTCGAGGTCCGCACGGTCCGTCACCGCACCGTTTCGGGACTCCAAAAAAATCTGGACGTCGCACCTCTGGGAAGATTGCCCGTCGCGCGCACCGTGCTCCTCTCGCGATCCGAGGCGCGGAGCCAGCGGCCCGACGGGGGATGGTCTCGGGCAGTCTCGGATTACATCGGGAGACTCTTCATGGGGGGGATCCCATGGGGGGATAGGATCCCAGGGGGGTGATCCCATAGGATCCCCTGGGGATCCCATGGGGGAGCAGGAGGGGATCCCATGGGGGGGATCCCCTCCTGCCCCCCCATGGGATCCCCCCCCATGGAGAGTCTCCCGATTACAGCAGAGAGAAAACCCGATCAGTGGATGGTTTGAAATGGGATGGGTAAGGAGAGTGATGCAGGAAATCGACTAGGAACCCGGAACCCACCGAAATCGGCCTGGAACCAATAGCCATGAACCGGGGAATCCGGAACGGGGAACCCGGGAACC